ATACTAATTCTTCGGCTTATAATCACCGACTAAGAAAATAATATAATTAAGTGTTTAGACTTTAGACATTCCTATCTTCATTAGTTATCGCTCCGGCGCGTATTAAGATCACCTCAAAATTAAAAAAAGTTAAATGTTGAAATTAACTTTGTAGATATAAGAAATTATCTAAACGGGTTGTGTCTTTCAACGATTTAAGGTTAAAATGATATCGATAAATAGTTTAAAAATTCAAATAATAAATGTGTGACTTTTGTGTTTTAATGAAATGCTTTAATTATTCAAATTTTTAATATAAAAAATATTATTTACCTTATTGATATAACAATTTCAACAATGTACACGCGCACACAAGTCGAATGCCCGCACGATACTGAGTTTGTTGTATGTTTGGACTGTATGAAGCAGGTCGCATCGACCTCTAAGGAGTTCTTATCAAGGTTCAATGGCAAATCGCCGAGCCACTGGTAACCCTAACATTTGTGTAATCGAAGCTGCACTTAAATAAAAGGAAGCAATATTCATAGGGCTTACTTTCTTTGAACAGTTGATAGTAATAGTTTCAAAGCTTTAAGAATATAATATACTAATCACTTACTCCAAAATGGAATCGAACCTTGCACTTTCTACTATCCAGGAAATATGAAGACACCACCCAACACAAAGAGATAGAACAGTCAATTTTCTATATTGATCAAGCCAATTTTTTTGCAACAATTAATAATGTTACAAGAATGTGTTATTTGATAATAATAATAATAAACTTTATTTCACAACAAAGGTGAACATACAAGAAACACAAAAATAGCGAAATGGCGGCCTTATCGCTTAAAAGCAATCTCTTCTAGGCAACCGCAAAAAGGAAATTAGATACGGACAACAATTTAGGGCAGTGCATTTGAGCAAAAGTATACTTTATACATATGAATATACAATGGAGTTAATTCAAACCCACACACGCACACCACACACACACACACACCACACACACACACACACACACCACACACACACACACACACACAAGAACAAAAACTTAGCTCACAGAAGTTTAATATGATTATTTACAATAAATATTATTTTGGTGTACAGCCCGTGAGAAATAGTATTCTATAACTAAATTTTTAAAAACGCCTCGCAGCAACCGGCAAATCGTTCCACAGACGAGCGGGTGTACAGAAAAGAAAACGTCAAACACTAGCTAGAGGAATGCATAAGCATCGCGAGTCTCGGATTGTCCGATGATCTCAAGAGACGGGAGTGGGTGTCAGAAAGAAATTTGAAACGCTTTTTAAGATAAGCAGGAGAAGTAGGATTATATAGGTAACTCCTTGGTGAACCTAAATGTTTTTATGAAGTCCTTTTCAGGCATTTTAAAGGCGTAGACTTTAACCGACTTCAAAATATTTAACATTTTTTGAATTATTAAGTAGCTTTTAAGATAAGTATTATTTCTCATTTTTTTTAATTTAAAGTCGGTTCTATTTAATAATTTTTTTTTTATCGAAAGCCTTATTTATTTCTTCTTCACAACTCACTTATATCCAATGGCATAAATAAATATCCAATAGAATAAAAGCTTAAACAAGGCTCATATTGTATGTTTCTATGTTTTATTAGGTCAACAATACCAATTACATAATGAATTTTTGTTCAACCGCGCCTAAATCGTGTAATTTATTGGTCGATCCGCATTCGATCGAAAGAAATGTCATGTAGCAGATGTTCGTGTAGAAAAATAGCTCATAACGTGCGATTATTTGCAAGTTTTGACACAATTGATTAGGTGAACGAATACGCTTCGACGATACTCGGATAGAACTACTTTAAAATCGGCTTTATTCATAGACGTGAATTGGAAAACGTGTCCAAAAACTAAATCGCTGCGGTATCGTTACTACTTTTATTGGGCTTCTGGTTTCTATGCGCTTACTTATGAAAATATAAACAAAATCACGTCATCAGTTGGTAATTATGTGTATTATGTGCTATTAGCAGACACTGCTACTAGAAGTTGCGGTTCTTTTCGTAAAATAAATTTACATTTTAATTATGACTGATTTGTAACTATTTTCAAGAATTATATAAACTCTGTGATTTATAGTCCCATAAAATATTTTACATAAAAATTAAGACCGATTTCCATTAACACTTTTTTACTTGATGATACTCACCATGTTTCCAAAAATCTAAGTAGCACAAAATACTTATACAACAGGTTAAGAATAGACAGGTATTTTTAAAAGAATGTCACACTGATTACAGTATACTATATGAACTTCCACAGAATATTATACAATAGCATTCTATATGACAACAGACTGAGCTATTTGTGATAGTGTCTGAGTTACACACGGCACAAACAACTCACAAGTGTGATTACTCTAGATAACTATTCATTTATAAATCAGGTCACCCATATAGTATGATTAATGCTATGTTTCTTAATATAAATAGTTAAATTACATCTATTTTAGTTTAAAGTAAATCTGAGATAGGTATATTACTTGACGTGGGGTTGGATCCAGTGGGTTCCTTGCTGGATCCCGTATTCTTCCCCCCAACAAAGGTACAAGATAACAAGAGTAAACTTATTATATTGTAGTAAAAGGAGTACTATTAGATTTCTTAATTAACAAGTGACTACACAATAATATCAGAAAGAATCTAAATGGATATGTGTTTAAAAGATGTCTAAGGGAGTGGTTATTAGATAAATGCTTTAATATCTACCATACAATTTTTTTAAAAATAAGTGATTGAATTTGATTTAATCAAAAATGGATCAGACATTCCAAATTTCAAAATCGCCAGATCTTTCCCTTAAATAATTTTTATAAACATAATAAATGAAATATCAATTGTTATAATTATAAGAACTCAGTATGAAAAGAAATATCAATTGTTGTAATTATTACAACTAAGTATAAAGATTTATGGGCAGTATAATTGATCTTTACAAGGTGAACATTGTTAACTTATTGATAAAAATTAGAATAGATACAAAGTCCACAGCAAACACATAACTAGATTTTCCTTATAAACATTCAGAATTGTAATAGAAATAAGACTAAAATGCAATGTTATGCAAATATCATTTACTGTTGAAAAATCTTTAGTTTATTATTTTAGGATAAATTTTGTACCTATTCGTAATGCTATAAGTTGTATGCTATACTTTAGTTGTTAATTTTTTAAATTTTATATACACAATGTATAAGAAAAAATATCTCTATTTAATTAAAAATGCCAGTTTCAGGTGCTATAATAAATACAACTGTACTACAACTAGGGTTGCTAGATTGTTTTTCAGTTTGTAAGGGACAAATACTTAAATAGAGGAAAACATATGGAATTTATATAAATTAGTTACATTTCTAGTCTAGTAACACTAACTACAACACCAGTATTTGTTTTTATGGGATTATGGTCACTGAAATAACATTAAAAATCAGAATGTTGACCATTTTTTAAAGTATTTTGAGCATTTTATTTGTCAGTCTTTAATTTTTTGATAAAATATACATATTTTATTATTTTTCAGACTAACAGTTAGTTGCACAAACATCAATTAAGGTTCTATGTTGTCTTTAAGATCCAATGAATGTCATTCGGTGAGTTGCACAAACGTTCATTAAGGTTTAATGACTCCTTTAAGCTCTAATGAATGTCAAAATTGTATGGGTAATCGGTCAGTTGCACAAACGTCCATTAGGGTTTAATGACGCCTTTAAGCTCTAATGAATGTCAAATTTGTATGGGTAATGTCACTTTAAGCTAATGAAAAATTTAATGAGCGTTTGTGCAACTGGCTGAATGTCACATTAAATTAATGAGAGATTTTAATATAAAAACATCCAATTTGATATTTTCGCTTTTAATAAAGATATCACGGAACATACAAACCTATGGCACAGAAAACACTTTTGGAAGATCAGTTTTTGATATTTAACAAAAAAAAACTTTTATTAAACTTAGGAATATGTACTATAATAATATCTACAATTAACTTACGATCGATGATATGTTGTATGATCAAAACTGTATTTTATTTTAAATGAAAAAATGAGTGGCTGAAATGGCCTGAAGAAATCACACGTCGAATAAAATGACTATGAAGAAACAATTTTAAAAGATAATTTAAAAATATAGTAAGGTCTCTGAACGAACTTACCTGATATGACGAAAGCATAAAAAGAACGATAAAAATATTAGAAATATTTCTTGAGCGAACAACTGACGATTACACAAGTTCACCCATAGATATTACCACAGACTTAGTAGGTATACATAGGCGACCACAAGAGATGAAAGACCACTAGTTTTACTTTTCGTTTTTGGAAAACGTGACAGTCAAAAACTTTATAATGTCAGTTATCCGAAACTGCCAGCTGTCACGTTGATAATGTCAAAGCTATCCGTCACTCTCCGCTGTCAAGGTAAGGATGTGAGAAAATCATCGTTGAATAATGATGATGAACTTTATGTATAACAATTTTAATCTAAACTAAAACGATTTGGACTATTAAAACGATTTATTTAAAATAACGGAAAGCAACAATATAAAAAAGGCTATGGCAAGAGCTATCAAAATTATTAATATATTTTTATAATTTTATACAGAACGACTCACAGTCGGGGCCCATTCAAATTTTACCAATCAAATCTTTCTAAGGGGCCCCGACTATGAGTCGTTCTGTTCTACATTAGAATTTATGATTTGTATAAATTATAAAACTATTTCAATTGTGTAGTTATTTAGTATACTACTGGACTTGTTTCTTTATTTTTTACTACTAGTATTATAATTCGTTCACGGGACAGGCGAAGGAGCTAAGCCATCTTTCTTTTTAGTTTTTAATTAAGTTAATTTTTAATTTATTTTTTGTTTTTCTCTAAATTATTTTTTGTAGACTTTTCTGGTTTTCCTGATAATATAAGCTATACTATACTGTTTGGGTAGGTATGCCTTGGCCTTTTATTAAAATAACAAACGTCAATAACAAAAATATTTTTGTGTGGAGGAAAAATAGTGTAAAAAAATATAATATTTTTACTAATTTGACACATTAATTATTAACTAAATATGATAGCGGTGTTACGAAATAAACATGTTGATAGTTGCTGCAGAACTTGCTTAAATGATATTTCAAGTAAATTCTACGAGTTGTTTAACGAGTACCAAAATTCGATGACTCTAGCCGAAATGTTGTTGATTTGTACTTCAATAATGGTAACTTTATAATTTTTATACCATTGAGTAAATGGTTTTCATTCAAAGCCTTTAGTAAACATCAGTGCTCTTTTAAAATAATAAGCTTCAAAAACCTTAACTTAAAGATTATATTAGGTATATTTAACAATAATCATAAACCTATGCAAAACCTGATCATTAGGTTACTTTTATTATATTTTCAGGTAGAGAAAGAAGATAGGTTACCTAAGAAATTGTGTAGTAGTTGTTATAACTGTTTGGTCAGCTTTTATGACTTTAGAATTCAAGCTGAAAATGTGGAGGCAGAGTTGAAACTTTCTCAAGTTGAAAAAATGATAGATGAGAAATTAAACAACCCAGAAAAAGTTTCAAAAATTGAAATCAAAGTGGGTAATACAATTATGGATGATAGCTATGTTACTGATAATTTAGAAAATGATTTTCACAACCTTGATATTGTCAAAGTGGAAAGCCAAGATTCTTTTATAGCACATATTGACAATTTTAATAGTAATAATATATTACAAGAAAAAACAGACAATGTATCTAATTTAAATAGTCATTATGGAGTGTCTGAAAAAAGTATTAAATGCAAAGTTTGTGACAAAAAGTTTAAGAAACTTTCTAAGCTACAGATTCATGAAGAAAAACACAATCGACAATTGTACTCCTGCAATTTTTGTTCAGATACCTTTGTACAAAAATATAAATTAATTAGACATTTAATGAAGCACAGTCAAAAACATGAGGACACATCATCTGAAATAAACCAAAATAATATAAGCCAAAGTGTAACATGTGATATGTGTTCAGCTAATTTTAAGTCGGTTCAATCTTTGTCTGCTCATATGAGGGTACACATTCAGAAGGGAAGAATTTTGTCTTGCATGTTCTGTGATAAAGTATTTAAAAAGTTAAGCCACCTAAAGAGACATGAGTTGACTCATGAAATCAATAGACCCTTTAAATGTGATACATGCCCAAAATCATTTCATACTGAAAGTTTATTAAATGATCATATGAACAGACACCATGGTGTAAGACCGCATGAGTGCCCGTTATGTAGTAAATCATTTTGTAATATATCAAGTTTGACCACCCATCTCAAAGTACATACCAAAGAAAAAATTTATTTATGCCCTACTTGTGGTAAGAAATTTGATTCTAGCTCAAACTTAGGTCAACACATGAAGAGACATGTTGGGCTCAAGTTGTTTTCTTGCGATTTGTGTCCGAGATCATTTGTAACCAAAGGTAAAAAGCATTGAAAACATTTAATTAATATTAAAGCATTTTTTAATGTATATGTAGAAGAATAAGTTTATTTGTATATTGCAATAAATATTAAATAGAAGTAGTGTTAAGTACGAGTACTTGTGCTAAAGACATCATAAACAACAAAGAAGACACAACAGACAATATAGAAAAGTTCATTTTCTATGTTGACCCAACTGTAAATCTAAAATAGTGACTAGTGAAATAACTAATTGTCATAAACACATACAGATAAACATGACATGCATTAGAACATAGAGTAAGTAAGAAACTTCCGTTATAAGCAGACAATGATGGTATTTTCTTGTTAAAGGTGAGCTGAATTCACATACCACCACACACTTAACAGAGAAGTCTCATACATGTGATCAGTGCGGAGCATCTTTCACTAGACGCTGCTCACTGAAGAAGCACAAGTTGCGTCACTTAGGAATTAAACCACATCAGTGTGAGACTTGTTCTAGAAAGTAAGTTTTTACTTTATTTAATGTCATTGGAAAAGAACAAACAGTAATTTTTATGTTGTTTTATGCTTTCATGGTCATTAGAATGATTGCTACCATACCATAATCCCGTAAAAACACACACAAAATAAAAAGCAGTCTGCAAATCTTAAATAGATATGTGTACCTCTAACCAAGTTAGTTTACTTTGAAAAAGTATTAAGTTTGTTGGTACTTAATGCTCAGGTATTCCTTTTTTAAGAACTAGCTCCATATTTGTATCGTAACCCTAAGCCAACTACGCCTAGTCCCCCTATTCATCTACACTAATATTATAAAGAGGAAAACTTTGTTTGTATGTTTGTTTGTAATGAATAGACTAAAAAACGACTGGACCGATTTTAAAATTTCTTTCATCATTCGAGAGCTACATTATCCACGAGCAACATAGGCTATATTTCATTTTGTAAAAAAATAGGGTTACGTAAGAAATTTGGGTTTTTCGGTGTAAAAAATCAACCAGAAATGTTACTTATTTTGCGTGCCACAGCAATGGGAATACAGGCCGCTGGGTGATGTTTAAGTGTGTTCTTTTGCAGGTTTTCAAGTAAAGATCACCTTAAGCGACATTATCGTACCCATACCGGTGAGAAGCCTTATCGATGCGAGATCTGCGAGCGAGCATTCGCTCAAAGCAATGATCTGGTCAAGCATAAACGAGCGCATTTAGGAGACAAAATGTATAGGTGAAGATTTAAATATATTATTATTATTTATATTAGGGTGTTCTATGTAAGATTCTATCTAGCCCGGCCATTTTATTTACATATTTACTAAAACAAATCCGTAAAATTTCTGTGATTATTTTTGAACTCTTCTCAGTATAATGCACTGAGTAGAGTTTTGAAATTTGTAATTTTATTTCATATTGACTGTACAAATCAATCAATGAAGAAATCAAATAAGCAACCGTAATGATTGCTCTAATATTCGAGCCAGGCGTTTCACGTCAGGGTTTGATTACCAAATAATTTATTATATAAATAACATTTTTTGAAGAAAAGACAATATTTCCTGTCACTAAGAATCTAGTAAAAATACCAAAATTGAGAATACCTCATTACCTCTATAATTTTCATAAAATGATCTGTATCTTGATTATGTATTTGAATTAAATTAATAGAATATGTTTATTTATTTCGAGAATAGAATTTTATTGAATCGAATATATTTTCAGATGCACCCAGTGTTCAGAGAGTTTCCGTCTTAAAAACGAATTGCGTCATCATATATCTGAACATTTCATTACGTCACGACTTCAAGGTATCAATATGAATAGCTCATCTCAAGATGGCGACGTTAATCTCGTAAATGTTGAACATGATATTTTGAAAAATCCAACCGTTACTGTTGGTAACATAGACGATATAGCGTCCAGTACCAGTATTCAAGTACAAGAAAAATGTTTACCTATAAACGTGAAATCTATTTCTGGGGCGGATTAATATTGTTATAATAATTGTACAATATTGTATTATTAATAAAATATTGAATGTGGAAGTATTGAATAAAACACCTACAATCAATGTCATTAGATGGCGATACTATGTTCGACAAATTCCTGTCAATTGTCGACTGGAAACGGAAACATTAAAATGGACCAAAGACAATTAATAATGTTCCTTTACAGCGAACATAGTATTAGTGAAATTGCATTAAAAACAAAACTAAAATTACCTAAATTAAAAAACAACGAGCTAAGACTTTACTTTCATTTCATCAGAAAGAAAATTAGAAAACTATATCATAGACACTTTAATCGAAGACTTCAAATAGTTTAAATTGCGTTGTAGCGCCGTATTTTTTGTTTTTAAGTTTTTTTTAATACTTCTATGATTGCCATCAGAGGGTTCTTTAATATTAAAGACTGATGTCTACTTATTTGTATCTCTGTCTGCACTTAATATAATAAGTTTAATCGTATCTTTGGGTTACTCCATTTATAACATCATTTAATCCCGTAAAAAAAAACAATGTTCCCGCTATCAGTATTTGGTGTCTAGACTGCCACACAAAAGATGATCTTGAGTTTTTCATAGTGGCAGGCCCTAATTAAAACGGATGATTCTGAACCGGTTTCAAGCCCGTTAACAATCTATAGTCTATCCAGGCCCTGATCTACAACTTTTTCGAACAGGGTGAGAAATTATGAATTTTTGTCATATTATCATGATTTTGGCGCCCTTTTGTCATTGGCACCTGCCCCCACTTGCCGCCCCCTTGATCCGGGCCTGAGTCTATCTAACGCCAGTTGATAATGGCAAAAGATGACATATTTTAAAAATATTCGAAGGTATGTTAAGACGCTGAATAGTGCCAAATCGGTAAAATTGATCTTGGATTGTACTAATTCACGGGAAACCTATGGCAATCCAAAAATGTGTGGTTATACTTGATCGTATTTCTGATCTTGTGGTTGAAGCCGAAACATGATTGTATTAACTTCACTCGATAGAAAATAATTCCAAAGTAGCATCTAAAAATATTGCGAAAGGCTCTTTTCTCAATTATGTGATACATTAGAGTAATGATATTGAGTACAAATATGTATCAAAGGTTAATATAAAAGTTGGTTATTCCCAATTTTTGATAATGTTATTATAATAATTATTATAATTTATTTTGTGATATGGCACATATGGTCATTTTTTTCAAGCAACTTTAAAGTATTGACATTTCTGTCACTCCTACTGCAATTGACAGGGAAGGCTATAGAATAACGCACACTAACTTAGTTCACGCTGAGGCGTGTTGCTAGATGGACCTATGTTGCTTTGTGCAGCGTTCTGACGTACCGAGATCGCTAAAATTGTAAAAAAAAGAACATTTAAAATAAGTATTTGAATTTCGCCCTCATTTAAACAATATATTTGGTGTAATGTACGAGGGAAGGGACCCGAGTGTCTCGAAGTTGTTAGTTCTAATCCCACCAGAGCTCGCATTTTTTCAAGTCGTTTTTTTATTATTTTATTCTAATTTTCATTTTTTTTCTGCCATAATTTTAAAAAGCAACTTTTTTTTTATATTATAAAACAGTATAAAATGTGAAAATAAATATTTCTTTAGTATGACGTAGGCGAAAGTCAGACTGACATTTTCATACAAAACCCCGATATTGATGAAATACTTCCAATAAAATACATGTTCGTGTTCCAATCCCATCAAAGAAGCATTTTTGTTTTACTTTTATCTTCTTTTTCCTAATATATTTTCCTCTCTCATTTTTTTACAGGTATATGTTATTCATTAATAATTCGTTAAAATAATTTTGAATATTATTTTATACAGTAATTAAGTATTATTTAATTATCTAGCCTAGTTGATAAATTTAATTGCTGTAAAAATATATAACATAAAATTTGACAATATGTAAATATTTCCATAAAAGTATGTGTTTGCAAAAGTTTGACATTTTCATGCAAAAACCATCCCGTAGACCGTTACTCTAGTAAAAAATAATTCCTAATCAATCATATTGTGTAAATAAAATAGTTCAATAAATAGGTATTACTTTATAAAACAAATATAAAAAAGGGAATTAGTTACTATTGAATGAATTTGAAAATTATGGTAACAGTGTACTAAATAATAATGTACAGGTTTTTCACAAACTTTACTAGTGTTTGGTGTGGCGCAATGTCCTATGTGCTGGTCACTAGGTACTCATTGTGCCACAGATCAAAACCAAATTTCATGTTTTTTTTTTGTATCTTAATTTTTTTACCCAATATTTTTATTATGAGAAATATAATATTAAAAATTATTTATGTGTTTATACTTAAATATAAATTATTATATTTAATAATTGTATAGATATTATTTTTGAAATTTTCATGGAAAAACGACTGGATAAATTTCACGGTAATTTGATACAAAATACCTCTAGATATCCTTTATTGGTTTGCAAACTATTGCAGTACGCAACAGGCGTAGCCATACAATTACTGATAAGGAAAAACGAAGATTTTTCTGTGAGGTAAATGTACAGTGTTCCGGACTAGTACACAATTTTAAACGATACTGTGAACTGAAACGTGGATTGGGTAGTTTCAATAGTGAAACGTAAAGCACGAATTTGCAGAATCATTGAAATTTGCTTTGAAATAATCATATCTAGGCTGATTTCGAGTAATAAAATCGCATAATTATCTTAACATATCAAAATTAAAGGTCCAGTCTTTTTGTTTATTCATCATTTGACTTAAAAACATAACCCACCATTACGTGACGACACTTCGTTTGAATATTTTCTGAATCTGACATCTGTGAGTAGTTGTAAAAAAATAAATAAACAGCAGCCGATTTGACAGAAAAAACAGATTCCGAGATAATACTGTTCTTACCTTATTTAATATTATTATTTTGTCGAGATCGTTAGATAATACCGTTTTCGTTTGAATAACATCTTATTATTTTTTTTTATATAGGATCAAACAGTTATGCAAATTTATATGAACATAAAATTGAAACATTAATAAACACATAGTTCCCTACATTACATTTGTTAAATTGGTTGATTGTTAAAAATAATTTAATCTGTTTGTACATTACTGTTATTTAATTATTATTATTGATATTTCAATCTGTACATAACATAATATCGTCATGAATATGGCAGACGGTGTTTTTATGGGTGTAAAAAAGTGGAATTATGATTTAATTTTAAGAAAAGAAAACGTTTTTAATTTTTTGTTTTTGGAATATTTTTGTTGTCGATTATAAACACTTACAAGTACCAAGTAAGTACTTTTGCAATCAGAGTATAACACCCTATTATAAAAGCCGTGACAAGTTTTCGAACGTGACTGATACGATCGCACCGCTATTTCGTAAGACGTCGTTCTTTGACTTTCTTAAGATACTGGTAAATTTATTGAAATAAAATTTGTGAAGTCGTTTTAGCCATTAATTGTTATCAACAGAAGGTTTTATAATTAGGGAACTATATTTTTTTTAAATCTACTTTCCGCATCACGGATGCAAACCTGTGGCGTATGGTTACCGTAATAATTGAAAATCGCTCCAAAATGTTACTAAATTTTATTCCTGACTAAGGTTGGCATTAAAAAATTAGATGTCAATAATTCGGTAATCAGCATTTATTATTGTGACGTAAGTGTGGTAAAAGTTTTACGGTAAATTTTACAATTCAGTTTAACTCTAAGCACAGAGTTGAGGACAAGCTCGACATTCAAAGAAACGGGTGATTCTCTAGAATATCTAATCAGGACTCTGGGTCTGGGCAATCCCATTCTGAAAAGGGCAGGTTAGTGTAACTGGCCTATATGATAAAACTAGCTATGGTTCACTTCACATGGATGCATAAATTCAGTATCGGTATGAATATCGGAATCTTAGAACAAATTGTTGATGCCTGGGAGAATTCACACAACGTTTTAGGTGTTTTCTGTGACGTACTTAAAGCTGTCAATTATGGTGTTCATGAAATATATAACGAATCTTAATATTATGAATTTAGAGATAACTAGTTAGATTTTGCTGTCTCTTAGTTCAGTGGCTTTGTAGGAGGTTCATATCGGTGACAAGAAATCCCCTGACCCGATAGATCAACACCTATCATGGGTGTTTCACAGTGCTCAATGCTTCTTTTTTAATTTATATAGACAAATTGCCTCCTTTGGTAAAGGATAATCACGAAATAGATTTATTTACAGTGACAATTCCGTGAAGTATAACTTCACTCTTATTTAAAATTAAAAGAGGACGACCAGTTAATGACGGTGTGAATAGTTATATTCTCAAAGTAGTACATTGGTTTAATATCTTATGTGTTATTCACGTGCATTTTAAGCCTTTCATCACTCATAATCTTGCTCCATGACTATCGCTTCATTTGCAGATTGAATGGATTCTATGTAAGCACTATGGTAGGTATCATCTGCATAAAGAAAGCAGCTTTAAACTGGCGATCCCAACGAAATTCATAAATTTTATTCTATAGAGGCAACTATTCAAATAATGTGTTGCTCAATAAATATCTTGAACAACCTCAAATAAGATGAAAGGTTGGGTTATAGTAAGTTTTTGTTATTGTTTCATTTGGTCGTATAACTTTTTACTGAGGTTATGTTAGGCCAAAATACTTGTAAAGATTCATTACACCGTTATATTATTTGCCACTAGCTGGTGCCCACATCTTCGTTCGTGTTGTCTCATACCAAAGATTTTGTAAGCTTGAATTGTATGTTGTGGATTGAGTAGGTTATAACTTAATGAACCTGTAAAGATAGAATTATTTTTGTACCAAAATTCTACAGTCTGCTGACGGTGCCAACGGTATATATGATTAACAATAATATTTAAGATGAAATTTATAAACTTTATTGTTTTTTTTTTTATTCGGATGCCAAAAGATAAAGCCCAGAGATGTTGCTAACCCTTAAAACAACAAGGCAAAGTCGGGCATTAGAAAAACAGGTAATTTTCAGTTCCACACCAGCAGCTTTTATTCTCTCAACAGCATATCGAAGTCGATCAGAATTCCGTGGTTTACTGCTCTGTTCTTATATCTTTGCGTACTTCAGAAATTGTTTCTATCTCATTTTCTGGTAGATCTAAAGATTTTGGGCAATGTATGATGATGGTCAGTTTTTCACTGGCTTAACTGGATTCTAGAGACCGAATATTCTATCCGTTTTTATTCTTAGAAAATTTGATCATGTGTCCCTATATCGTTAAAATTCAAAATGGACGTCCATCCGGAAGCGAAGATGTATGCGTGCTTTAACTACGTTATCCTCTCTGCTGAAATCTCCAGACACTCTTTCTTATCTTAACAGTACTTATGTACCTTTCACACCAAAACTCTTTGTTCCTCCTCTAATAGTCTACTCTGCCCATCTCATTTCTC